TTTCTGAAGAAGGGTCTAGGCCCGAAATGTCAGCCTTCCTGCTCCTCTGATGCTGCTTGGCCTGCTGTGTTCCTCCAGTTCTACATTTTGTTATAACAAAAGGAACAGGAAGAGTTCATTCAATCCATCAAGCTTGCACTGTATGATCATGGCTGATCAAACACTTCAACGTCTTTTACCCACATCATCATAACCCTTTCTGCCATTGATAATTAAAAATGTATCAAATCTCTACATTAAATGTACTCAGAATGAGCTTTCACAGCCTTATGTGGTACAGGATTCCAAAGATTCAGCACACTCTGAGTCAAAATAACATCCCTTCACCTTGGTCCTAAATGGCATCCCTTTGTTTTTAAATTGTGCCCGTGGCTTCAGACTCCCCAACAGGGAAATATCTCACCTCCATCTACCCTGTCTAGCACTTTGAGTATTTTGAAAGTTTTAATGAGGTCACGCCTCACCTTCTGAACTCTAAAGAATACAGGCCCAGTTTGACTAATCTCTCTTCATAGGATAGTCCTGCCATCCTGGGATCAAGTCTGGTGAACCATTTTTGCACTCACTCGACAGCAATTATATATTTACTGAGATACTCAGTAGTCCAGATGTGTTGTAACCAAGTTCTTATATATTTAAAGCAAGACTTCACTTCTCTTGTATGCAAATCCTCTTTTGCTAATGGCTAACATTTCATTAGCCATCCTAATAGCTTTCCATACCTGCATGTTAGCTTTCAGTGACTTATTGACAAGGACACACAAGTCCCTTTACATATCTACACTTTCCAACCTCTCATCATTTAAGTAATAATCTGCATGTGTTCTTCAGATCGAAGTGGATAACCTCACAATTTCTCACATTATATTCCATCTGTCATATTCTTTCACAATCACTAAGCCTGTCTAAATCCTCTTGAAGACATTGTCTGTCTTTCTCACAACACACATTCCAGCTTAGGTGTATTCTATATTTATCAAGGATGAATCAGGTTTTGTACTGATTTTCCAACCACCACCCAGTTCTGTTGTGTCACATATAAGATCCTGAATATACACAAAAACAACAGACAATATCATCAATAACTGTGCGATCAACAGCACCTCCACACAAAGTCACTGTCATAAGATTTGAACTTATTATAGTACCTACATGTTACAGAGACTCATGCATTGTAGTGCCAAATGAGAGTCTCCTGCATGCTTCTAGTTCTTTTATGCATTATTTAAAATGTTAAATTAGTTTCTGGCACAGAAACCCATGCTTATCTAGGCTCTGTTATCTCATCAGCTGTCGCATACAATCCTTGTAAAATAATCCTGAATGCCTCAAGGGCAATTTAATACTTACATGATAGGGGTTTTCTGCATTGAAAGTAGATGGAACCCCTTCTTCTGGAGCTGTGTCATTCACCCTTTGTTCTGCTGTTGCATCCTGAGCTTGGACATCAGTTGTGTCAATGTCAACTTCAGCAGCTGCTCCCACAACCTGACCATATTCATCTACAGCCCCAATGCCATAGTCATACTCATCGTAGTAGGGTTCAAGTATTCGAGGTCTTTCATCTTCCACTGATCGTTTCTTCCTTTGGCCTTCTGTAAACAATGCAGTGATTACAGGGCAAATTGACTACCCTCAAGAAAATTTTATTTTTATAGGTTAAAAGCAATGTTATTCATTTATTGGACTTGGGCTGAATCCAGGGACAAACGTCTTCTGAACCCATTGGCCATATACAGAATTAAAAATAGGGCAAATTATATTTAATTAACTTTCTTCAGCTTTTTGATGATGTAGCAGAGAGGATGGATGAAGTAGTGCATGTAGGCTTCCAAAAGGCATTTTATAAACTGCTACATACCAGGCCTGCCAGCAACGTTAGAGCTCAAGGGATAGTAGCAGCATGGATACAAAACTGGTCCAGTGGCAGGAAACAGTGCTGTCATGGAATATGTGAGAACGATGGATGGTGGGCTGTGGGCATGGGTTGCCATTAATTGGCATAGGTGCTATAAAGGGTCATGGGGATGTGTACAGGTGCATAGGTTATCATCAGGTGTATAAGGGGCCATGGGAAGTGGGTGTGGAACATCATGTGGCATTGGTTTGCCTGGATGAGGCATGAGGAGTGTGTAGAAGAGTGAGGACTCTCAGTTCTCTTCCTTAAGCACCCTGGAGCTGTGAGGCTGGCCTTTTACACAACTTGTCTCTGAATCTGATAGCCTCTGAATTTCCATTAATAAACACTCCCTTCCAGAATAAAAATATGTCTCTCTGGAGCACTTTCTCCTGATTTGGATTTGCAAAAGTTGGGAATTTTCCCGACTCTGCATTCCCAACTTCAGAACGAAAATTCAGGCCTTTGTTTCACCTGAAGCCATTGTTATGTACCCTTTACAAATAAAATGATATTGCTTCATCATCATCACTGGTTACCTTTTGTATACATTGGACGCAGCCAGTATATAGGGAGAGCACCACACAATTCCAAAATCTTCGGACTCAAGAAACCATGATCTTTGACTGGCTGTTTCGCAGCAACCCAGATGAGAGATTCTTCTTCAAACTTTGCAGGCATGATTTCATCTTCCTTAAAGAAGAGAATAGTAGGTAATGCATTGCAGATTGTTTATCAATTATTCAAACAATGGTGCAGCCATCAACCATCTGTTATACAGTAGAATGCCTAGAGGGAGTAATGCTATCACTGTCCAAAACAATTCAAACATTTGTTGAAAGCAGAGACTTGTTTTTCTCTCTCTTATGGATAGAAGGCTCTGTCTTCCCAGAAAAGCAATCTTTTATTATACTAATTCAGATTTTATTCACTGCAAATATTTAAGGTACCATTACCAAATGAGTTTTACTGAATACGTTAATTTCCAAACACTGTTGCAATTGTTTTTGAAATCCTATTCTTTTAAATGTAACCTGAAAATCACCAAACAGGAATATTTACTGAATTTTTATAAAAACAGCTATTTTGCGTATGCTTGGCATTTAGTGACATCTCATAACTGGGCTATTGCAGCTAATAATGGCAGAGAGTTCATCTCTTCAAACACAGACTCCAGTTTCTTACAATGTTCCAACCAAAACTAATATTACATAAATGCCAGCCAGAGACAAAGCAACTGTGCCCCACCCTCAGACAATCTGAAAGCAGGTGTGGAGCTGAGTGTGTTCTTCCCCTCTTAAAACGGCTCTTTGAGAATTACTGGTATTTACATGAATGTTACCACATGATGGCACTGTTGGCACAATAGTGCTTCTGCAGGGATTCACTTGTGGATGTGAACACGGTGGAATCATCATCAAACTCTGACAAACCCCGTGCTGTACTTCAGAGACAAGCTCATGCTGAAGTTATCGCAGATATCATTCCTTCACGGTTACACAAGTGAACACCCATTGTGCAGAAAGAGCAAACTTCCACCTCTTGCTAAGCCACTTCTTCAAGGAAAATTCTCTAATCTAATTGATTATGAGAGGTTTCTGAGTGTTTCCCTTTAGGCATCTCTGAAAGGGGATTCGGTAGAACGTCTTGTGAAAAGGGCACCTTGTATTGCTCAGACAGGCATACAGACATGCTTTGCTATTGCTTAAAGGTCTTGCACTCACATATCCAGAAGTACAATTGTCAAGCTGTTGGCAATTTATTTGGCAATCTCATGTAAACAAAATTTAAGGTAGCAACTGTCCGAAATTATTTTTCACAAGATTTCTCAGATATATTTCACATACAATAAAGCTTAGATGTTCTAATAAGGAACCTGCTCAATATATTTATGTAAAAATGTAACCTGTGATAGGTTTCAAGTTTTAATATACTTAAATGAATATAAACCGAAAGTATTCAATTAAAATGACAAAAAGAATTTAGATAATTGATCATTGGAAAAACAACATATTGAAACTAATGTTTCTGGGAAGAGATAGAAAAGGTTAAAGCTGCCACAAAGGAATCGGTTTTTGTTTTCCCTCATACTTTATATTAAATGAATAGTCATCAACTATATTGCAAAATCTCTTACAGCAGCCTACACTAAAAAATGTACTGCTAGCTCTTGAAGTATTGGAGGACAATTCATTAATGATCTTAATTTCATACCAATTGATTTTAATAGTACACATTAGAATACACACATACAATCCACACTCTCTTTCCTTTCCTTCCAGATAAATGTTAGCATGTATATAGCATCTACAAGCGCTTTAATGAAATACAGTGTTCAGAGGTAGCACTCAGCTGAATGTCAGGTTTGATTTCCCAGTTTTATCCAATAATACGTTGCTTGATAGCCAACCATTGCACCTCTGGTTGGTGATGCTCAGGAGCTCATTTTCATCTTATGTTGCAATGGTCGAGAACACAAAATTCTACCTCCTGTCATAAAGCCTCCAGCTGGGCAAAAGCGAAAAACCACAGATGCTGAAAAGCTGAAATAAAAGCTGAAAATTTAAAAGAGAAATACTCAGCAAATCAGGCAGCATCTGTTCAGGTATGCTGTGCCTGTTGGGTATCCTCTCCACTGTCAATCACTGCCCCACTCTTTCCCATTTCTCCCGAACTCTGGTACCTAACTACTGCCCCCAAAGCCTCACCCAAGACAGCCTGGCTTGCCCAGGTGAAATGTACCAATATCAGTAATTGTTACTGTTCTCGAGGACGCTGCTGGGACTGAATAGCAGCTAAACATCTGACTGAACAGCGACTATTAGAGGCAAGGCATTCACTTAGATGAGCTGGAAGCAACAGCTGAAATCAATAAACAGCTCCACGACTGTAAAATTAGATTGTGGTTTCCCAACTCAGTGGAGATGGGCTCTCACTGACAGGTTAAGTTGGGGGACAGGGCCACTGCATCTGACAAAAGTTTCTGCCATCATTTATTAAGTCTTTGCTTCCTATCAAGTTAGTGCAGTGCTCCATTGTTCGATGGCACTCTGAAACACTGCTCAAGTGGATTTTTAGAGGCAACATTTTCAGGATGAGTGATATTCTTATCTCCCTCTTTCTCAGATTATAATATGCATTTTGGGATTCCAAGTGATCTTTTCACTTATTTTCTCTGAACCTATTCTGTCAAGCATTTGCACAGATGCATATTTCCCTCAAGGAAGCGTTAATCCAGACTGGAGTGTTAGAACTCGAGGGGTAGTGGAAAGATTAGGATTCATATGTTATGCTGGAGACAGCTTTGCTGTTACTGTTGAGACGTTTTGCTAATTGAACAGAAATATTTTCAAGACAAAGAAATTGCATAAGCAGCACTCTGCTTGTTTGTAATGACAAGTCGAATACATAGTAGAGTTTCAACGTTCTGATCTCTGCCTAAAATTATGTCTATTCAATGTCTCCATTGGAGCTTAGTTAAGGAATGCCAGTAAACGTGACAGTAAGTCAGCTTCCAAAGACGTCTGGTGGCAAATAATTTGTACAGTACTATCCTATTGCTGTTCTCCACACAAGTATACTATTCCAGGAGCATTGACTGAAGGGCTGTGCCTCAGGAGGGTAAGATTTATCAGGGAAGAGTGCCAGCTGACAGTCACGGTCAAAATTTCCACAGCCTCAAATTTTAAGCAACTAACTTAAGTTTCCAAACAAATAGTATTGTAAACCAATTTTCCTCAGTGTGGGTATGAAAAGTTAATGGTTCTAAAAAAGCTGATTTTGAAGCAGCATTAAGCTCCACCCAATCTGATGATGTCACACAGAGTTTGGGTGGTGAAGTTAGTGCAGCAGAAGATGCCAATGAAGATAGGTCATCTCTAGCCCATAATAGTCCTTACAATTATGCCAGACAAGGCAACGTAACTTGTACTGATTGGCTATCAATGCAATAAACTATATCTCATTGTATAAAACAAATGCTTCTTGTAAAAGCTCAATACCGATTTATCCTCCAAAACTGCTAATTGGTCAGCCTCCTAAACTGAGCATAGAAAAGAGGATTGCAAGCAGCACTCTTCCCCAAACCACAAGCTGTCAGTGCAACATATGACAAAGTGATCTAGGGATAGGGGCTGTCAGAGTTAGTAGAGCCTATCTTTCTCAGGGGGTAGAACCAGTGGGATGGTCAATTCTGCCAGAATGCTGTGGACCTCGTTGCAGAGATTTGTGAATTGCAGCCATTTAGATCTTGCACAATGCACAGGGTACACATGAAATTGAAGTTCTTTGTCTAAACTCTGTGCAGCTGGTCTGAGACCCTCATCCTAGAATCAATTCCACTTCTGGAAGTTCTAATGATTTTTTTTTCCTGTTACACCCCTACTTTAGAAGTGGGGGGGATGGCTTCTGATGCATATTTCTCAATGTATCAGAGAGCACATGGCAATACAGACCAAAACTATTGTCAGCCACTGTATAAACTCGCTCTGCAAAATCCCACTGTCCTGTGGAGCAACAAAAACAACACCATGCTAGAACAGGAAGGTAAGAGCAGTATTCCATGAAGAAGGATTAGGTGAAACATTCACACAACATTTCAAAGATCAGTTCATCAGGCACCGAAATTGGGAAGCTTGTTCTCAAACAACTTGTCAAAAAAAATCCCTTAAATAATTTTCTTCCCTCCGTACTTTCTCTTAATCCATCAATTGAAATCTGTGGTGCTGCTGTAGCTCTTGAAATAATTACAGATGAATCCTCTGAGTAAAAGATTAATTAAATACAGGAGATTTTTTCAAATCGTTGTATGGTCTGCAAATACCGCTTTCCTTTGTGTTGCTACATTGCGGATAATGTACAACATTCAACCTACTTCTTCACCAAACTGATTATTTTGTGAAAAGGATAAAATTGCTGGTTAGCTGGAAGGTTTCACTGGTGGCTTTCTAGGATACTGATGATCAGAATACCACATACAGGAATGTCAGACAGCCATGGGAGTGCCGAATCTTTAGTTTCCGTAACAGAGACAGGGATCATGTGACTATATTAACTTCAGTAGGAATCCAACACTTGCTCCACCATACCCCTTGTACTGTGACTCACTCTATGCAAGCCCCTTGATCTCTGGTGGCCTACCAGTTGTTTGATCCCGCTCACTCAAAGGCTTGTAGTCACTTTGTAGTCTTGTTCTCTCTCTGCCACACCTACTGACATTTGGTTCGAGTTTGACTGGATACATTGTTATCTTGAGGGATAGCAACACAATCCTTTCCTACTCCACCCATTTCTTTGCCGAGCACAGTCTCTTCTTGACTGATGTGTGTCAGAACTGAACTTTGGACACTAGGAGATCTGTGAATCTCTACTGCAAGGACATCTCTTTCCAATTAACTAACATGTTGGTGCTGCTTATGGACCATCTTAGAGATTTACACACCCGACCCTTCCTGCAGCAGTATGGTTTCTGACAAAAGAAATTCTGTTTGTTATTATGAGCTGTGACAAAGGAATACTGTACCATAGCAGACTTCAGAATGATAATTGTTTGTCCACATATGTGTTATGGCACACCCCCATACTAATCCGGCTTTGCAGTGTATTGGGTCAGGAAATAAGTGATTCATACAGAGGATTCTGCTTTAAATAATACCATGAAGAAAGGTTATATTGTCATTCACTCTTTCCTCGTT